ACATACCTCCCATGCATGGATCAAATGAAATGTTTGGGAAAGTGTTTTATAAGCAGAAAAACTCTTTGCAGACATGAGTTCTTACAGAAGTTTCAGGGAATTTTGCCTCTAATTAGATGTCACCTTACCATTCCCTGTCAGTTTTTACTTTTGTTTGTACATGTTAAATTAAATCAAATGAATTAGGCCCATCACTCCCTCAAGAAAAGCAGATATGTAGCTATTTAGTTATTTTTTTAAATTCCTGGGTCAGGCGCAGTGGCTCACGCCTGTAATGCCAGCACTTTGGGAGGCTGAGGCAGGTGGATTGCCTGAGCTCAGGAGTTCGAGACCAGCCTGGCCAACATAGCAGAACCCCATCCTTCCAAAAATAGAAAAAATTAGTCGGATGGGGTAGTGCGTGCCTGGAGTCCCAGCTACTTGGGTGGCCGAGGGACCAGAATTGCTTGAACCCAGGAGGCGGAGGTTGCAGTGAGCAGAGATCGCACCACTGCACTCCAGCCTGGGTGACAGTGTGAGACTCTCTTTCTCTCTCTGTCTCTCAAAAAAGAACAAGTTCAGGTAACCAGAGTGAAGGGAAAATAACAGTGGGATAGAAAATTAAAGTGACAAGTTCTGTTAGTACCTGGAATTTATAATGTCCTACGTAATGGCTGGAGATGGGAGAGAGCACGATTCTGAGGTAACTGACGAGAAGGAAGCGTGATTGGCTACAAGAGCCCCTCTCTCTCAAGAATAAGCATGTATCAGTCACACTGGGGAAATGCATCTCTTCCCAGCAATGAGGTGGGAAACCCCTTTAGTGGATTATCTCAAAGAGAACATTCTGATGTTTCGAGTAACATGCTCAGCAACATCCCCATGAAGATCTGGGCAGGTGTCTGACGTTGTTTTGCTGTTAGCCTTCAGTAATGCACACTGAGGGCATGGGGCCGGAGCACCAGCGGATGAAGGCAGCTCTCCCAGAGAACACAGCGGTGTGGCCTGCTGTGGCTGGCTTGAGTTAGCCCTCCTGTTGCCAGCATCTAGGATAACAGGCGGGCCGCTGTGCATCACACACTCCTTCATGAATGCCATTTCTCATAAGTGAGCTTTTGGCAGGAGTTGGGCAACAGATAATCCAGAGTTACGTACCAGGCATCAGGAAGAGCTGGTAGGTGTCTGCTGATGCCGAGCGAGGGGAGCAGGCCCGTGTTGTTGGTGCCCTCAGCACCTGGTCCGTGGCAGGCCTGCAGTGAATCTGTGTACAGTGGTTAAATGTCCACATCACATGTAGGGTTGTCCCCCTCTTCCTAAATCCTTGTTCCTCATCTCCACCTGAAGAGAAGCCTGGGCAGTAGCTATTGACTAGGCCAAGGTGCTTCCTTAGGAAAAAAGTCTGGGACTGTCTTCATATATCAGCCAAACACTTCAACATCCTATGCCTAGAAACCTGGATTTTACCAGTTTAATTAAAAAAAAATTGGGGCTGGGCGTGGTGGTTCATGCTTGTAATCCCGGCACTTTGGGAGGCCGAGGTGGGCAGATCACTGGAGGTTAGGAGTTTGAGACCAGCCTGGCCAACATGGCGAAACCCCATCTCTACTAAAAATACAAAAATTAGCCAGGCGTGGTGGTGGGTGCCTGTAGTCCCAGCTACTTGGGAGGCTGAGGCAAGAGAATCGCTGGAACCCAGGAGGTGGAGGTTGCAGTGAGCCAAGATCATGCCATTGCACTCTAGCCTGGGCGACAAGAGCGAGACTCCAGCTAAAAAAAAAAAAAAAAATTTTAAGTCAGGCATTGCAGGTCAACCCCTATGACATAAGAAGAGCTCAGTAATATGTGCACCTGAAGACTAAAGCTCCTGTTAGTGTTACAGGATAAAGTTGAAAAATGTCAGCATTGGTGAGTAAATTATCAGACCTGCTATATAGAATTGTTAGACGTGAACGAATTTACTGCTGGGGATGGCTCCTAATTGTGACTTTAGTTTTAGAATAGATGATCAGAGCCATTTTCTTTTCCCTTGAGGCCTTTCTTAGTATTTGACAATAAAACTATTTTAGCAATTTACAGGAAAATACTTACTTGTTCTCTGTAGCATGGGAGCCTGAACTAGGCTTACGCAAAGATGGTTTCAAGTAATTATGATGCAGGTAATGAAAAAGGAGCCAAAATACATCCCTATTTTAATTCTATTCCAAAATTCAATTGATCAAATATTTATTGAGTGTCTACGATGCGCTTTTGGCCCAAGGCTAATTGCGAGGAGACGGTAGTGGCCAAGCGTGATCTCATCTGCCAGGAGGTGGCCGAACCCACATCCTGTTACTGTTGCCCAGAGTTAAAGCAGAGGATGGTTCTGATAGAACTATACGCGATCTTTTTTCCTTACTTATGGAATTCTCCGTGAAAATGATAAAGTGTGTACACAGTAGCCAACAGTAGACTATCAGGCCCCTAGTAAGCATGTAGATGATGAACACACTGTAAGTCCTGAATTATTATTAAGGAAGTGGAATAGAGTTTCAGTGCCATTTCCAGTTAACCAGTGAATCTTTAATTTGGGGGCAGTGATGGGCGAGTGGGATTCATTGCATATTTTCTTTTTTGAGAGCTAACGTTGAGCTCCCATACATGGTCTGGTGGCCAAGCCATAAACTTCCTTAAGAATTTCTTAAACCAGAGCTGTTTGGAGCTGATAAGAAATGTATAGCGGCATTCAGGAGGGGAGCGGCTGGCCCCACCTTGCTGCCACAGCTGGCGCGGTCGCCCCTTCCAGCTCGCTCAGTTACTCCGGACTCGGAGCAAGCGGCCTCCACGCTGTCACACACACGAGGCACTAGAGGCCAGCTGTAGTCCCCACCCGTCTCTTCTTAGAGAATTTCCCTGTGAATAAGGTTGATGAATTAAAAACCAGGAAACGAAAGGTGAGTAGTTTTTGGCTGTCATTCCTCTTGACCAGTTTGTCTGGCGTCGCTTTCCTGATCAGCACTCTGCAATGCTTTGCACGGCCCGATGGCTGCTTCTCCTGAGGGAAGTCAGGTTTTTATGGTGTCAGCAGTTTCCAAATGGACTCTGTCAAAATCATCCTTGTCTTGGACACTTTATTCCTAGACTTCTGCTTTACTGTTGGCAGCTTCATAGGCCAAGTACGATTTCATTAGTTCTGCAGCTAGAGACAGACAAGGCCCGGTGCCCCTGTCCTCAGCAGGCTCACAGCTGAGTGGAAACAGACACAGAATGAAGTGGTTCTGATCCTGTATGATAAAGGCGTAATGAAGGGCGCACACAAAGTGAAGGGAGCTGGGGAGCATGTGCTGGGTGTGCCCTTGGTCTGGAGGGCACGGGGTTAGCACCATCTCCTGCCGTGAGTCACTGAGGGTGGCGGGAGAGAACCACGCACATGGCAGGCTCCCCAGGGCTGGGATGTGGGTCTCTGGTGGGGACTGTCTGCTGAGTACTGTAGGCGTGCTTTGCACAGGGCAGGATGGAACAAGGCACCTGAGGTCCCTCCTCACTGAGAGAGGTGGTGATTTTGTGGATTCGGTAAGGCAGTCGTTATTACACGGTATAGGTTAGGGTGCACTGTGGCAGAAAAATCAACCCTGAAGTCTTTGTGATTTACTGTAACAACAGTTTCTGCCTCACTCAGACAAGTTTGATGCGGGTTGGGCGGCTCTCCAGGGCAGCTGAGCTCTGGGAGGTTGCTCTGTGCTCCGGGCTGCATCTGTCTGGTGCTCCACCTTCTCAATGTCCAGCCTCCAGGATCGCCATGGCTGTGCGGCCGAAGGAGAGAGCTGGGGGCTGGCCCATCGCTCTAGAGTGTGTCTCACAGAGGCCTCGGTGGCTCCCACTCACAACCTACTGGCCAGAGCTCCTCAGGGGGCCTCACCTTCCTGCAGAGGCCAGGAGGCGGGGGGTGGGGGCCCGTAGATTCATCACGATCAGTGTCACTATCCATCTTCCTGTTTTCCCACCTCCACCCCTCGTCCTTTCTGTCTGACGTCCAGGAGTGTTCCAGATCTTAACCACTGTCTTCCCAGACTGGTCACAAGGGCGACAGCACCTTCTAGTGCTGTGGTTTAAGAGCATAGTATCACCTATTGTTATTGCTTTCAGCCATGGGGGAGTTGGGGGATTTGGGGCAATATACTTAGTCCCTCCTGTGTGAATTTCCTTATTGATGACATGGAGACAATAGTAGTAGTATCCAAACTAAGAAGGTGGTTGTGATGTTTCAGTGAGATAATACGTATGCAGTGGTTAGCACAGTGCCTGATCATGCTCAGGCTCCATGGATTGGTACATTTATCTTAATGCTAGCTGGATGAATTCGAGCATGAGTATAGATTGGCAGACATCCATGGCTGGGATGCTGTGGGAAGCAATGTCAGATGCAGATGCTGCTGCTGGAGAGGCAGTCATGCATGCGAGTAGAGCAGAGGGTGCCGTTGACCTTCTCATAGATGCCATCTCTTCCCATGGGTCAGGGTCTGGCTGCCACTTGCTGCGGGCAGGTCCCTTGGGAAAGGGAGAGGCAAAGAGAGAAGAGCCATTCTGGGCCGAGCAGTGGGCCCCGTGCTAGGAGTCTTTAGCTGGATCCTCCCCATGGGTCCACAGGGAAGGTGGTGGCCCCACCTGCACTTGATACACAAGGAACCTACATCTTAGAGATGTCAAGGCACGTGCCCAGAGGCACACAGCTGGTAAGTGTGCAGCGAGATTGCAAGCTGGCCTTTCTGACTCCAGACCACCCTTGGGCCCAGTTCAGGAGCTCCCAGTGGGAAGTGGCTGCTCCCCGAGTTCCAGGGAGCGATTTCCCCTCTCTGGGAGAGTCTTGAGTTACTGTTGCAATGCTTTCCTGGTCTGTCCTGCTGCCTTGGAGTGCTTTTCCTCCCTCCATTTATCTTCTTTCTGACCGATTTACTGTTTTTCTAACACATCATGTTTGGTTGTGTTTATTCTGAAACCAGGCTAACAAGACAGTTGAAGTATTTGTGTTCTGTTTGAAACAACAGGCATGTGAAACTGTTGAATCTCCCTGCCAGCCTCCGGCCACACAAAATGAAGAGCTTGCTGGGCCAGAACGTGTCGACCAAAAGTCCCTTCATCTATTCACCAATTATCGCACACAACCGTGGAGAAGAGCGGAACAAGAAAATAGGTAGGATGTTGATCCTGGCTTTCCCACCGTGCTATGCCACCTGATTTCCAATGGCTTTTCTAGATTTTTATAACAGAATTTTGGGCCAGTTCATGCATGTGTGTGTGTGCGTGTGTGCGTGTATGTGTGGATGTGTGCACGCATATGTGTGTGTGCATGTGTGCATGTATGCGTGTGTGTGCATGTGTGCATGCGTGCATATGTGTGTATGTGTGCATGTGTGGATGTGTGCATGCATGCATATGTGTGTGTGTGTGTGCCTGTGTGCATGCATATGTGCATGCATGCATATGTGTGTTTATGTGTATTTGTGGATGTGCATGTGTGGATGTGTGCACACGTGTGTGTGTGTGTGTGTAGTCTGTCACGGAAGTTTATTTGATTTGCTGCTTTTGGCAGGCAATTGCCCATAGATCTAATTTTTAAAAATGTATTTCATATAAGGTAATTTTGTGAAAGTTCTAGAAACCAGAAAGACGTTTGTTAACTGAGACTTAGGTGAACTACAGAAGAGTGACAATTGGAGATGTAGACTGATTTTCCAAGGGCTGAAGTGACTTTTGAATCATCAAAGACTCAGGGTTGGGTTGTGTTCAGGATTGAGCGGGGGATGAGGTAATTGTGTTCTGTTCTTTTGTGAACACAGGTGATCAGGATAGCCAGTCCTGGGGTTAAGCTGTGCTGTGGGAGAGACTGGGAGTGGACAGTTTCTCCTGAGCTTTCCTGTGTCTGAGCTCTCGTCCCTCCTGCACCAGGGCTCAGCATGCACCGCCGGCCCTGTCCCTTGGTGGCCTTCCCAAAGCCCGGCTGTGGCAGCAAGCTCCCTGTCCCTTGCTGCCACAAAGACACGCCTGAGGCGTCTTGCAGGAGATTGTGATTTCTTGTCACTGGCGACCACTGCTGGTTGAGCCCACATGTCCTGTGACAGAGCCTTGAGGGCCTAGAGGCTGGCCGCTGCTTGGCGACAGCCGGGGCCTCCGAGGAGTATGAGCGGAAGGCCTGCACGACCGTGGTGCTCTGCGTTTGATATACAGTGCTTTCTTCTCCTTCTGTTTCTTTATTTCTACTCTTAATTCCTTTAACTCCGATTTAGGAAAAAGGCATTCCAACTCCTTTTTCCACCATGCTTTTCTTTCCAGGACAGAGGCTTCCTCTTGCACTCACAAGCTCACCCACACCCCGAGTTACGGACTGCAGGCGCTTCCCGACCCCGCCCTGCCCACACCCTTCCCTCTCTGTCGGGTTTCTCATGCCGCCTCCTGCCACCATCACTCTGGTTTAGCCACAGCCACTCCTTTCGGGTCTTGGAAAGAAACAGGCTTGTTCCAGGCCCAGGGCTTTGGGGCTCGCTCTTTCCTCTGCCAGGAACTCGTCCCCTGCCCCTCTGTCATTGTTGTCACATCCTTTTGGTCTCTGTTCACATGCCCCCTCCCTCAGAGGGGTGTTTTCTGATCCCAGCGCCTCGCAGGCCACTCCTCCCGCCATCTCTAGTGGCACTGTCTGCGGTTCTCTTCCCGGCCTTTCTCCAGCCCAGATCCACACTGGCCTGGGATTCTCTTCCCCGCCTTTCTCCAGCCCAGATCCACACTGGCCCGGGATTCTCTTCCCCGCCTTTCTCCAGCCCAGATCCACACTGGCCCATTGATGCTTTGCCCCGCAGTATCACCTGAAGCCAGAATTCTGTCAGGCTGTGTGCGGCTGCTGTCTCCCCAGCCGCTGGAGCAGTGACAGAAGAATGAATGAATGGATGGGGTACCTATTATGAATCCCTTTTTATAGATTTTGTAGACAGGGAAACTGATTCAGGACGTTTAAGTGTCTTGTCCAAGAACTCACAGGGGAACCTAGATCTCACTGTACGTTTCGTGTTGCTGGCAGGGCATGGCAGAATTCAAGGCAGAAGGGACAATAAGAGCATTACATGTAGCACATAATCTTTTTTTTTTTTTTTTCCTGAGACGGGGTCTAGCTCTGTCATCCAGGCTGGAGTGCAGTGGTGTAATTAGGGCTCACTGCCGCCTCAGCCTCCTGGGCTCAATTGATCCTCCTGCCTTAGCCTCCTGAGCTGGGACCACAGGTGCACACTACCATACCCACTCATTTTTGTATTTTTTGTAGAAACGGGGTTTCACCATGTTGCCCAGGCTGGTCTCGAACTCCTGGGGTCAAGTGAATCGCCTGCCTCGGCCTCCTAGAGAGCTGGGGTTATAGGTGGGGACCTCTGCGTCCAGCCAGCACATTGTCTTGATGAGCATTTCTCGTATATTACTAGCTCTGGGATTTCTTAGCTTCTGTAAGGGTCTCATGATAAACTCCATTAAATATTTGTAAATTATCTGAATGCCTTAAAAAATAAAGTGCTTCAGAAGAAATAAAGTTGTTTGCTAAGATAAAGGGCATAACTAGGGAAGGAGTACTCAAAGAACCTTGTGCTTTTAAAAATGGTCCTCATTTCTTTTATTCAAACAGTGCTATCATATGTTGAGGCTATCATATGTTGCCTTACGGAGTTTCCAGTAGTTTTGGAAGATTTCATTTTTATCTCCCTTTTACAGATGAGGAAACGAACTCAGAGAAATGACTTTTGGAAGTAACTAAAAATTACTCAGTTAGTGACAAGCTTGATTTCACATCACAGACCAAGCGTCCTGTTCCTGTGAGCACCCTCTGGTTTCCTCTCACGTGCATAGAGGGTGTGGGAGAGACCTGCTACCTGGACCCCACAGTCATGCAGTTCATGCAGGCAAGACACAAACATGAGAAGCTGACTATCGAGACTAAATGTGAACAAAAGGTCTCTAAAAATGTACACCTGTCAGCAGGGTACCTGGTTACTTACACATTGAACTTGAATGAACAATAAACACTGGGCTAACTGGGAGTGGGGTGTGGGGTGGGGCCCTGCACACCCTGGGGAAGCCCCCTGGAGGCTCAGACGCAGCCTCCCTCGGAGGAGCCGTGTGGGCTTTGCAAGGAGCGGCTCCAGCTGTTCTAGCTGTTCATTGTTAGAATGAGAAGAAAATAAAGAGACCTGGGGTCATGCCCTTGAAAAAGTGCAGCCAATTCTGAATTTTGGAAAATTTATGAAAACCTGAGTGCTAACTATATAGTCTACTGTAGAATTTGTGTGTATGCATGTGTGTGTGTGTGTGTGTGTGTATGTGTATGCGTGTATGTGTGTATGCATGTATGTGTTTATGCATGTATGTGTGCATGTGTGTGTGTATGGTGCGTATGCGTGTGTGTATTGTGTGTATGCCTGTGTGTGTGTGTGTATGCATGTGTGTGTGTGTGTATGTATGTGTATGCGTGTATGTGTGTATGCATGTATGTGTTTATGCATGTATGTGTGCGTGTGTGTGTATGGTGCGTATGCGTGTGTGTATTGTGTGTATGCCTGTGTGTGTGAGTGTGTGTATGCATGTGTGTGTGTGTGTGTGTATGTGTATGCGTGTGTGTATGCATGTATGTGTTTATGCATGTATGTGTGCATGTGTGTGTGTATGGTGCGTATGCGTGTGTGTATTGTGTGTATGCCTGTGTGTATGAGTGTGTGTATGCATGTGTGTGTGTGTGTGTATGTGTATGCGTGTATGTGTGTATGCATGTATGTGTTTATGCATGTATGTGTGCGTGTGTGTGTATGGTGCGTATGCGTGTGTGTATTGTGTGTATGCCTGTGTGTATGAGTGTGTGTATGCATGTGTGTGTGTGTGTATGTGTATGCGTGTATGTGTGTATGCATGTATGTGTTTATGCATGTATGTGTGCATGTGTGTGTGTATGGTGCGTATGCGTGTGTGTATTGTGTGTATGCCTGTGTGTATGAGTGTGTGTATGCATGTGTGTGTGTATTGTGCGTATGCGTGTGTGTATTGTGTGTATGCCTGTGTGTATGAGTGTGTGTATGCATGTGTGTGTGTGTATTGTGCGTATGCGTGTGTGTATTGTGTGTATGCCTGTGTGTATGAGTGTGTGTATGCATGTGTGTGTGTATTGTGCGTATGCGTGTGTGTATTGTGTGTATGCTGTGTGTATTGTGTGTATGCCTGTGTGTATGAGTGTGTGTATGCATGTGTGTGTGTGTATTGTGCGTATGCGTGTGTGTATTGTGTGTATGCCTGTGTGTATGAGTGTGTGTATGCATGTGTGTGTGTGTATGGTGCGTATGCGTGTGTGTATTGTGTGTATGCCTGTGTGTATGAGTGTGTGTATGCATGTGTGTGTGTATGGTGCGTATGCGTGTGTGTATTGTGTATGCCTGTGTGTATGAGTGTGTGTATGCATGTGTGTGTGTATGGTGCGTATGCGTGTGTGTATTGTGTGTATGCCTGTGTGTATGAGTGTGTGTATGCATGTGTGTGTGTGTATGGTGTGTATGCTGTGTGTATGAGTGTGTGTATGCATGTGTGTGTGTATGTGGTATGGTGTGTTTGTGTGTATGCTGTGTGTGGTGTGTGTATGTGTGTGTGTGTATGGTGCGTATGGTGTGTGTATTGTGTGTATGCCTGTGTGTATGAGTGTGTGTATGCATGTGTGTGTGTATGTGCGTATGCGTGTGTGTATTGTGTGTATGCCTGTGTGTATGAGTGTGTGTATGCATGTGTGTGTGTATGGTGCGTGTGTGTATTGTGTGTATGCTGTGTATGAGTGTGTGTATGCATGTGTGTGTGTGTATTGTGTGTATGCCTGTGTGTATGAGTGTGTGTATGCATGTGTGTGTGTGTATTGTGCGTATGCGTGTGTGTATTGTGTGTATGCCTGTGTGTATGAGTGTGTGTATGCATGTGTGTGTGTATGGTGCGTATGCGTGTGTGTATTGTGTGTATGCCTGTGTGTATGAGTGTGTGTATGCATGTGTGTGTGTATTGTGCGTATGCGTGTGTGTATTGTGTGTATGCCTGTGTGTATGAGTGTGTGTATGCATGTGTGTGTGTATTGTGCGTATGCGTGTGTGTATTGTGTGTATGCCTGTGTGTATGAGTGTGTGTATGCATGTG